ATTCAATATCTTGTATACCTATCCCTTCAAACGGAGACTGTACTTGTGATTCTAGACTATGCACAGGAATTATAGGTAAGACATGCAGCTTGGAACACATGGTCATTTTAGTACTACATTTGAATTATCGAAGACAACGGATTTCGGATGCAATCTTAAGTTGGGTTACCGTTGCAGAGTGAGTCTTTCGAAGATGACTACTCAGATATTTATTTAATGTGTTTGTCACTTCAATCGACTAGTCTTACATTCGCAGCAGTTTTTAGTTTTTATATTTGTTTTAAATGAGTTAGTTATTATTTTGAGTGATACGTTCTTGTATATTTTATTTCCATTTTTTATAGTATCCATATATTTTATTATTCCGGTCATTCTAACACTTATGAACTACCATTTCGTCTCTTTGCCTGGTTCTATGTCTTATTAGTTTGTATTTGATATCCTGTCAAAACATTTTACTGGTTAGATTTCACATGCACCCTTGCAATACATTGACATGTTTTTGTTGTTGTTTTCCTGAATTGGGAACGTTTACGCTCATGCGTTCAAATATTGGTGAAGTTTATATGTTAGAGGACATGCTTGACTGTATTAAAAAGATATGTCAATAAAATAATTCTTTGTAAACTATTACTATTTCAGATACATTGACCACACAGTCAACAAGTCAAGGTATGCAATGTATGAAAGAAAAGGTTTTATACTATATATTTATTAATATTTTACACCCCAGACCGGATAACATAAGGTCAATAAGACGAATTTCAAAAACAGATAGATCTGTAATTCGATGGTGATGTAAATTGAAACTTTGTAAGTTTTCTTATGTAATCGCAGATTTCGATGCTTCTGTTTCAGTAAAAATGTTTGGTAGAAGTTACTTTCAAAGTGCTTAATATGATATCCAACCTGATTCATACATTATCACATGTTTTCATCAGTATTCCTGCACTTAAATTTTGAAGATGGAAAATGGGCGTCGTTGTTTACTTTGCGACTCTCTTTCCAGTTAATTTTCAAATGTTTGACGATATTAAGTCCTTTAAAAGCTTGGACAATGCTTAAGACACCAGTAATTGTTAAGAACATATCTTAACCTGGAATTTTCATAACAAAAACAATATTTCAGCCAGGTTTTTTTGTTAACCAACTATATAAAATGTAATTCAGTTTTAGATAAGTTTTTGAACATAATAATTATTGACAATTCCTATTATGCGTTGGATTTGATCATCAATTACCTGTTAAATGTGTGAGTTGAGCACCAAATCAGCACTTTGACGTTTTATAACGTTGACTCTGAAGTCTGAGATATTTAAAAAACTACAAAATGAAATTCTTGTTGTTTACCTTCTAGCTAATACAGCCACTACCCCTATGGCTTCCACAGCTTCTGTAACCGGTGAGTCTGTTTTACATGGAAATTTGAAGCCGTATATTCTCATTCAACTTTAAAATGCCTTTAAGGCAATGCACATGAAATAAATGCAGATTAAAGTTGATTCACTAAAGCATCTTTCTCACTATTTAAAACATAATTAGATTTAAAACCATTTGAAATATATATATTTATCAATACATGGTTAAAAGTATCATGTACCTAATTATCTCCATAAGTCAGTCCATTGCCAATTGGGATGTATCTATTATTCTCCTGCAATTCGCTAGGCGTGACAATTATGATTGAAAGGCGTCTAGAAATTTAGGATTTAACTGTTACAATTTTCTGCGTAAATACAGATTACGTTTTCGTTGTATCGCCTGCGACGAAAAAACGAAGAATGCGAGGCATTGGGATTACAATCTGGCGACGGTATAAAGTATTTGTATATAGCTTTATATTTCAGAAGGTAGTAGACCTGGATGTTTCATACCTTGTATGCCTTATGCTATGAAGTTTCCGTGTGTCAAATGTCCATTGTCCATGGTACAGAGACTGCTTAAAAAGATATTTAGTTTTTTTGTTATGCGAAATATTCACTTATTACGAGTCATAGGATAACTATAATTGGTATACCGTTACGGAATCCTTGCAAGGTTTACATGTTTGTCAGACAGGGTTCTTCTAACCTCAACATCATTTCATGGATCAGTTATCAAGGTTATGTTTCGTGGTCAAGGAATTAAAAAGCAATAAATCAACTATATTTGGTGAATGGAATGATTGTAAGGTGAACATGACTGACTGACAAGTTTCATCTGACCATGACCTCATTTTCATGGTTCATTTGTCAATGTTAAGTTTTTAAGGTTTGGTCTATTTTTCAGATACTTTAAGCTACAGGTCAACTATATAAGTTGTATGCAATGATTGAAAACTGTACATGTCTGTCTAGCAGGGTACATCTGACCTTGACCTCATTTTTAAAGTTCATTAGTCAATGTTAAGTTTTCTATGGTTATGTCTATGTCTCAGATGCTATAAGCAATTGATAAACTATATTTTGGTGCATGGAATGATTGCATGGTGTACTTGTCTGTCTGGCAGGGTTCATCTGACCTTGGTCTCATTTTAATGGTTCATTGTTCAATGTTAAATGTTCGTAATAAAGTCTGTTTCCCAGATTCTATAAGCAATAGGCGAAATATGTTTGGTGTATGGTATGATTGTAAGGTGTACATGTCCGCCAGACAGGGTTCAGCTAACCTCAACCTCATTTCATTAATCAGTTATCAAGGTAAAGTTTTCGTGGTCACGGACTTAAAAAGCAATAAATCAACTATATTTGGTGAATGGAATTATTGTAAGGTGAACATGACTGACTGACAAGTTTCTTCTGACCATGACCTCATTTTCATGGTTCATTTGTCAATGTTAAGATTTTACGGTTTGGTCTGTTTTTCAGATACTTTAAGCTACATGTCAACTATGTAAGTTGAATTAAATGATTGAAAGGTGTACATGTCTGTCTAGCAAGGTACATTTGACCTTGACCTTATTTATAAAGTTCATTAGTCAATGTTCAGTTTTTTATGGTTATGTCTATGTCTGAGATACTATAAGCAATAGTTAAACTATATTTGGTGTATGGAATAATTGTACTTGTCTGTCTGGCAGGGTTCATCTGACCTTGATCTCATTTTAATGGTTCATTGTTCAATGTTAAATGTTCGTAATAAAGTCTGTTTCCCAGTTAATATAAGCAATAGACGAACTATGTTTGGTGTACGGTATGATTGTAAGGTGTACATGTCTGTCTGACAGGGTTCATTTCACCTTGACCTCATGGATAATTGATAATGTTAAGTTTATGTGATATTTGTAGTAAAACAGTCATATATATACAGACTTTCAACATATATTCAATCATGATAAGTAAAACAGGTGATATATTTCAGCGTGTGCACTTTTGTTTTTCTACGCATGCATTTATCTTGCAAGATTTTGCAATTTCATAGGAATGATTGTTGTGTCTTTTATCACTGACAGAAGTCTTATACTAAACAATAGCAAGTATTCGTTTTCCGGCTCCTCTCATTCATCGAAATTGTGCTCAATTACAACCGTAAAATAAGCGATAGACGTCGGCCAGTATAAAATTACAGTTGTTTCTTACAATCAATTTATACACTTTAACTTGTTATGATTTACAAAATATCATTGCAAAATTTCACGGTAACGTGATGCAGGTAACATTTATTATTATTATTATTATTATTATTATTATTATTATTATTATTATTCGAGTTGAGCTTTTTGTATATATTTCCTAATTTTTATATACTTTATACTCGTTTGCATCTTTCCTTTTTTCTAAGTATTCATTCTTGATTATTGAAATATTAAAAATGAAAACAAAACGTTATAAATTTAATGCGTCCGAAGCGCTCTTCTGGATCTACATTCATCAGGAACGCTAAAAGTCGAATATTTGAAAGCCAAGGATGTATAAGAACCGAAATAGTTGAAAAACCATATGACCAAAAAGGTCCTAAAAAAATAGCCTAATCCATCTAAGGTCACTTTTGCCCGAGGGAGTTGAACCTTAATTTCTTTATAATTTTAAAATTTATAAACGGACAATTTTAGTAGAAAAGTTTGTTATAAATCATGTCAGTACCGAAGTACTGACTACTGAGCTGATGATACCCTCGGGGACTGATAGTCATCCAGCAGAGGTATCGACCCAGTGCTGTAAAAATGAAAACAACACGTTATAAATTTCATGCGTCCAAAGCGCTTTTCTGTATTAGATGGTTTGTTATTCTCTGAACTTAAACCGTTGAGAATTCACTATATTTGAACTAAACTCTTTTCCATACCTTTGTCAAATATCACGAATTAAAAGGATAAAAACATTAATGCCTTTAATGGGAAATAATCAAATAAGAATTAACTTCTTGATATTACAGACACAACGCCACTAGCTTCCACAGCAGCTGTAACTGGTGAGTTTATTTTACAATATTTTATACAGAATGAAGAAACCAAGGGAATGATGTTAGAGTATTGTTGAAATGATCAGTACTGTACGTTTAAGATTTCGATGCAGTGTGCATGTGTAAGGATACTAACAAAATATAGACAAAGGATTTGGTCAAGTATTGCTGTTTTTTCTAACTAGTTATTACTTCAGCTTCCAATTCAGCTATCTCCGGTGACTCACTGTATAACAAAGTTTTCACCAATCTAATATCGTGAAGTATAAAACTAAATGCCTTAATAGTGCCCTTAAAAATATTATAATGTGGCAAATAATTAATCTTTACTTGTTTAATTTGTATTTTTTTTCAACTTTCACAACTTGAAAACAAACAATATCCATACTATTGAGTCGCATGACACTTAAGTTTATTGTGTAGTAGTTTGGTGTTCTTAGTTCCATCCGATTTGCAGTGGATCTTTTTTTGAAGAGGGTGTGGGGTTAATATTAATGAGACAGCATCCAAACGACAAAAAGACATCAAGAGGACAACAAACAACTTCCAATAATTGACATGTCAATGTTATAAATCTATTGTTTAAAACTAGTTTTTATTTTTCAGCTCAAGTAACCACCATGGGATTAACTTCAACTGATGGTTAGTAAGTTTATACTCATTTTTTAATACAAAAAAGTTTTCCTGACATTTACTGATATCATAAAGGTGGTTTTCTAATGCTAGTTCAATACCTTTAAAAAACATTATTCACGGTTTTAAAAAAAAAAAGCGGACGGGTCGCTAGATACCATTTTGAAAAAGAACATCAAAAACTATAAGAATTTATCCATTAGAATGTTTATCAAATTGACGAAGCATTTCGAATAGTCTGGAGACGTGTTGCTTAATTAGCCGGATACGACTGTTAATACGTCAAAGAATATATTGACTTCTTTGTGGTAACACGGGAGGGGTGTAAGGCGCGATACAGAAATTTTTGAATTATAAAAGACCTGCTGTTCCATGTGATTTATGGTGCAATAAGAGTCACGGTCAAACATATAAACCACCCGCAGTTCACATCCAGAATATAGATGCATGGTTTGTTATCCTCTGTCAATAAACCGTTGGGAATTCACTATATTGGAACTAAACTCTTTTCCACACCTTTATCAAATCTCAGTTCACTATTTCAAGGGGCCAAAACACTTCTGTAATTGATACAAATTCTGCATTGGTTGCAATAATTATGGACATTGCTAACCACAGGTTATTCAAAAGTAAAAGGAAAATTCAAAACGGAAAGTCCTTTATCCAATGGCAAAATCAAAAGCTCAAACACATCAAACGAATGGAAAACAACTGTCATATTCCTGACTTGGTACAGGCATTTCCTTATGTAAAAAATGGTGGATTAAACCTGGTTTTATAGCTAGCTAAACCTCTTAGTTGTATGACAGTCAAATATATTGACAACATGTTCCATTATATTGACAACAATGTGTGAGCAAAACAAACAGACATAAAAGGTAAAAATGTCAAAAATTGAGGTACAGCAGTCAACATTGTATTATAATCTTAATCACTATAAACACAAATAACTATTTCAACAAAGAAAAATAAAATGGTATATAGATACTCTAATGAGCAAAATGAAAGACAAGAATACAAAAAAATTACCATAGCACAATAACACAATGGCGGGATGTATAAATAACGAGCCACGTCAAAAGGATATTACCAAAAATGGACTCAACAGTAATGGTTAAATTTATACAAAAACAAATAAAAAAACATTATAACACGTAATTAAGATGATAAACAAGGTCAGTACCTAGAATCTTTACTTCAAGACCATCATGTATTATTTATGAAGTTGATACGGAATATTTATCAACTAGGTCTTGGTATCTTCCGATGAACTTTTTTTTAGAAAAAGGACGAGACGTTTTTGACATATTCCTGGTTCATCAACTTTCTGCTCAGACACTGGTTTTATTAAGTCTGAGTAGCAGCTGCAAGCTCTTGAATACCGAATGATTTGGGAAATGTATATCCCATATGCAGGTGAAGCTGGTATATTGCTGCTAAGGTGGGGGGAATTTATAATTTCAAAATTAAAATCGTATCGTTTGTCATAGATTTTGGTAGTGAGATGGTCGCTTATGTCAAATTCGAGGTATATGTCTAAAAATGAGGCGGAGGAAGCCGTATCTGTTGTTTCTTTAATTTCTAGTTCTGGGGGATATATTAAAGGAACCCAATCAGAAAAATTTGGATTGTTAATGTAAATCATCAATATATCTGAATGTGAATTTAAACAATCTGGCTTCTTTTGACCAGAGACACATACTTCCAAAGATGATTGAAAATGTAGTTTTTTCGTGAGGAATTTGATAATAAGGGGTTGGGTGCCATCAAAACAAAAATCTGTGTACAAAACAATACCCGATTACTTCAAAGATAAAACTACACCCGTCATGTCATATACTTAAACTTAACATATTGCTTTCAAGATTCTCAATCACAAAAAGGATATTAGAAAACTTTACCCTCACGGATGATAAATCAAACCTCCCGATTGCTCTTGGGTCATGTATTCAGAATCGTATTGAAAATCTACTATGTATAATGAGCTCACGAGTGTTGGAAAGAGGAAATTTCAGAAAATTACAAATTCGTCCTCTTATTTGGTACTTACATAAAAAAAAGACGATGAAAATCTCCCATTTTTAAGCTGGAATACGAAACTTCACAAAAATCTTTATAAAGAACGATGTATAGCCGGGTAGTCAATATGTTCGACCAAACATCCTTCTGAAGTTGTTACCACCATTCACCAAAAGATGGCCTTCAGAAATATTTTAACATCAAAACCTTGATTTTCTACGCTTTGCACTGCTATTCCCCATGCTCAATTGAAAGATCAACTACATCGTTTCATTAAGAGATCTTTATCTACAAAAATGGGAAACGTAATACAAATTCCTTGTTTTAGGTAATGAAAAATCTTACTTTGTGCATAACCACACCGATTCTAAACGACAAATACACCGAAGATGATATCATAAAAATGCTGGACTTTTTTCATCATCAACATATTTGTTGAGGTGGTTTGTGGATTGATATTTCAGCAGCCGGTCGGTATTCCAATATGCACTAATTATGCACCACTAGTGGCCGACTTGCTTTTGTACTCAAATAAAGCAGAATTCATACAGGACCTTCTCAAAGACAAAAAGAAAAATCCTCTTGCTAAGTTCTTTAATTTCACATCCAGATAAACTGATGATGTTCCGTCACAAAATAACCCACTTTTCAATGAGTGCTTGTATCTTATATATCCTAGTGAACTTGATATTAATGATACTACCGAAAGTATAAGGTCTGTTTCATATCTTTATCTTTTCCTCGATTTTGACACAGATGAACAACTTCAAACTAGAATCTGTGACAAATTTGATGATTTCAACATTCTAATTGTCGCGACATCAAATTTCTCGGCAGTAACATACCATCTTCTCCATCGTACGGCGTTCACATATCTCAGTTACTGTGAAAGTACTTTTATTCATTGGGTATCAATTTTTGTGGTTCTCGTGGATGGCTTAATCGACGAGTTTAAGTGTCAAACGAAATATAACAAATGTCCAAATCAAAACATGGAAAGATCCCCATTTAGGTTCGACTACATGGATACATTCATATAATTTAGAGAATGCATCGAATATCCGTAAACGCCGTATGAACTATATATACATCTTCTGACAGGATTTTACCAATTTAATTTTTTTTTAAGAATAAACTGAACGACTTTTTTAATTTTCATAAAAAAATAGATTTGATCGATGAAAGTCAGACACCCGGTGATGGCATGCAATGATGATGTGTTCATTTTATCTCCAGACCTCAAAATTCTCATATGAAAAAAAAATCATTTTTGGCTTGCTTTTCTATTTCACAAGTAATAATTCTACAATTCAAAGTACATTTGTAGCATTTTTGTATGTAACCATGTTCTTTAAGTGTCATGTGTATGGCCCAATTAACACCTTTGATGATCGCTAATCTGTTGAATACACTGCACTCGTGAAGGTTCACATCATACGGACTTCATAAACAGGGGTGTGAACCTTACACAAAATCTGGTCCTATAGAGTTATGAGGAAGAACGACTGATATCTACATTCCATAAGTTTTACGGTCACCACCACGAATTTGTTGATCAATACGATGTGTCAGTGTCTCTTATTAAGAGACATGTTCTCTGTCTTAGATTTTTAGATACCAGCACAGTCTTCTGATCGGTAATTTTACCGATTGTGTCCTGTTCCCGATTTTGACATTTTGACTGAGTGTAAATTCGCTTGACGTATGATGCATGCATAGCAGGAGACACTCCCCCTCTCGACGCACCCGGATTTGCTCTTTTTAGAGTTCATCGGATTCCATTGGTGTTTGTTTATCACCTTGATTTGTCTTTTCCTTATTGATTTAGGAGTTTGAACATCGGCCAACTTATGTCGCCTTAATTTGGCAGCATATGGGAATAGTACATAATGAATGACCAATCACCGCGAAAATGCAAAGGGACAATTATATAAATTAATGGTTTAATGTTATATAACGTCATTCAAAAAAGGAGTTTGGTAAATTATTGAAATTTAATGATGCACATATTCAGGAGTCAAATTGTAGACGCTTATTTTGGTGTCATTCACTCACTCAATTATAACAGTTACTTTAACGTTTGATTAAGTGAGTAAGCCCAATAATATTTTGTTGTTTATTCTTATTTTCTTCAGTTCACCGGACTCAAAGGGTCAAGTGAGCTAATCTCATCACTTGTTGTTCGTTGTCCGTAGTCGTCGTTGTCCGTCTGTCTTCCGTTGACTTACTCAAAATATTCCCCTCTGAATCAACTGGGCCAATTTTAACCAAACTCGTCATTGCGGTATCTAGTTGAAAAAAAATTCCGATGACCCCGCTTGCCAACCGACATGGCCGTCAAGGCAAATATAGCATATTGGGGTAAATGCAAGTCTTGTCTATTTCTTAAAAGCCTCTATCGATAGAGAAAATCTGACTGGAGCAAAAATGTTGAGATCTACCTGCTGTCAATAAATGGCGATTTTAAGCCTGGTATCTATGATGAGCTTCTTTACCATTTTAGTTTTTTTGCCTTCTATCTTGCCAACCAAGACAGATAAAGAGCAAAAATATCAACAAGACAAGATCTTTAATATATGTAACATGGCCAAAATCGTAATTCGACTTTTTATAGGAGATGTTGTTTTTAAAGGACGATTTAGCCTATCTTCTTGCTTTTTAGCCTACTGTCTTGAAAACTACAATCGACACACAAACACTTCAAAACGATAAATGATTAGCTAGAAAGATAAACAAATAGATAAGCATAGCCGAAATTGTCTGTTGACTCTTTACATGAATTATTGACATTAAACAATATGTTTACGCTTTTGGCATTTTTTGCCCAAAAAAGTAGAAGATAGAGAGAAATTATAAACAGTAAAAATGACCAGCAAGACACGTTCAACAAAGAAGTCAATAAAGAAAAAATATCAGTCCACTTCTTATAAGAGGTCACTGCCTTTGGAGGTAGGATTTTTACCAATGTTTGTGTCTTTGGCAAAACCTATAGTAGATAAACCGAAATTAACAAAAAAAAAATATCAACAATACTATATCAACAAATATGAAATTTTAGTCATGAATTATATTCTAGTCTACAATGTTGGAGAGCTTCCATTTTAAGTGATAATAAATCCAGGTGAGCGACACATGCTCTTTAGAACCTCTAGGTTTATTCAGAAACAGTTTGTTATCAAAATTACATAAGTTGTTCAGCAGGATTTATCGTTGATATTGACTAATTACTATGAATGTTATATACATCTAATTGGAATACGTGGTAATGTTCCCTTTTAGAATGTGATCAATCATCTATCCTACAACTAAAGCAGGAACTGGAAGATTTTAATTGAAATGGAAAGAATATGGTAATAGTAATTGAAATATTATATGTTGCAGGAACAACACCAATGACTTTATGTACAAACCATGAAGATGTTAATTTCAATTGTCAAGACTACAACAACCACTATAGTTTATGTACATCTCTTACACCTACACTACAAAATATAGCATGGACCAGATGTCCAAAGTTTTGCAACCTCTGTGGAGGTAGGTTTTAAATGTTATTCTAATGCAATTTTTATGTAACAATTTTTTTCATTGGCTAAAAGTTACCGTCAAATCCACAGTTGACCAGGCGTAACTAAGGAGGGACTCGCCATTTTGAATTGATTGGATCAACAAATGTTCGATTACTACAATATTATTGAAAATTAAGCAACACCTACCTCGAATTCGCCGTTTTAGTGTAATTTTATCCGAATTTGAATCGTAGAGGTAACGTAATAACCTCCAGTTTGTAAGTTTTCATTTGTATGACGTCACGTTTAGCCATGACGTCTTTGCGCCAAAATCATTCATGAACTTTCGCGGAATTTTTTTGTATGTCAAATTTATACATTTTTTCAAGCTTTAAAGTAGTATTTCTTTTTGTAATGCATTAGAATCGGAATAACAGTACTGTAGTTGAAGAGTTGCCACCGTCAATTTTGATTTGACGGTCGCAAATTTCCGTTTTACTATCTCCGCTACGCGTCGCCAGTAAAACTGCATTTGCGACCGTCAAATCGACAATTGACGGTGGCAACTCTTCAACTACAGAATTGTTATTCCTTAATTGATGTGACACTGACATAAAGCTAGAAAGATTATATTTTGTAAGCTTTAAAATGTCAGTCCTTGCAACTGTTCCATGTATATTTTTGATAGATAAGGGAGAAGAAGGTGGTTTTGTTTTAGATTCGTTCAATGGTGGCTATATATCCATTAACATCTGTCCTTATTCTGAATACGGAGAAAAGGCGCCTTAAACTAAGAAAAGAAACATATGGAAGAAACGGTAGACATTTACTCAATATCAGTGTCATAAATTGAAACAATCACAGTTAAATGAGATATGGTTATAATTCAAAACTTAGTTACTTTGACTTGACTGTAAGTGTTGCTCTCCACCTATTGCAGTTTATTAAAAATTCTGACCAAAGTGCAATTTGTTTAATCAAACCAAACTGTTCAACTGTTCAGAAATGTTATAGAAATTCTTATAAACATTTTCAAAATATCAATGAAGTGGAATTAAAGTCTAATAGGATTGTAAGTATGCTTTATTTTATCACCTTGCACTTTCACAACTTGAATGTGGTTTTCTAAAATAGTTTATTAAAATTGACGACCAGTTCTTGTTATATATGAAGTAACAGCAGTTATTATTTTTAAAAAGGGTTTTCCTATAAAATTATCGAGATATGAAGTTGCGTAGATATTCAACTTGTTATTTTTAATTATAAGAGAGAAGAAATAGTTTAAGGAAAACATTTATTTATTGGCGAAATACATGTAAGATCACGGTTTATGTCGGTTACCTACCCATGGACAAAGGGTCTTTGGATAACCGCAAATTATATTCAAATTCAAAACTAAATTAGATGCAAATTCAAAACTAAATTAGCTGCAAATTCAAAATTAAATTAGATGCAAATTCATAACTAAACTAGATGCAAATTGAAAATTAAATGAGCTAAGTATTAAAATTCAAAATGCAATTCAATTCTTTAAGATAAAACTTATCCAAGATATTAGGCTTAAATGATAAAATAGATAATGAAAATTAGAAATAAAAAAAAATAAAAAATTAAACTAAATTATGAAATAATGGTGTGTCAACAGATGTCCAAATCATCATAAAAATAGAGGTTGAAATGAAGATTAAATGGTTTAATCTTCTACATTCTAAGATGAAGTTCTTCAAACGCCTTGAGTACAATCCGTAGTAAAATACGAATATGTTGAATATGTCAGCTGATCGGCAACGTCATAATTTCTTTGGGTTGATCCAATCATACTCCCGCGTCGTATGCTTTTTATGAATGAGTTACCCGAGGTCGATCGGTGTAAATGACGTCATTGAACGATCGACTCTTACTGTGGCGTAAGAATATAAGCATTCTACTAGAAAACCACGGCACGAATGTAAAAGTCGTTTAACTGTACTTTTCGTTTATGAATTTTTTGTTACATTATTCTCAGTTGTTCTCAATTGTTAAAGTGTTTTAACAAAACAGATTTTGAATCCCAACAATAGACTTCACGTTATTATTTAATTTTTTAATTATTTGTTCAAATGTCACGAAAACACCTCAAACACTAAAATATGATATTTCTAAATTTTTTTAACACAGACTTTTCTTAGCATGTGTATTCCCTGAAATAATGTATGATTTTAAGCTGTTTTTAAAGGAACTGAAATATTTTTAATAGATAAATAAGTGACTAAAATTACAAAAAAAAAGGTTTTTTATATAACACCATCAATTTTTGTAAGGGGCTGGTATGTATAAACCATTGAATTATGGTACTCTGGATAATCTTAGTGTTCATCAACATTTCAAATTGTTCCTTGGCGTTTTTAATATACGTTTCAATAATGTATTTCAGTAAACGGAACAGCACCCACTCAGTTCACGTTGACGGGTAAGTCTTGCCAAGTTTTTCATGCAAGTTAGATTAATTCAAGCCATAGCTGATTTTTAAGTTTTAATCATTTTTAAATATCATTGAAATGTATACCAATGATGAAGTTTTTATGGATGGATGTGTTAATTATATTTATATTTATCAAAGTTCTGTGAAGTAAATATTTTTGCAAGGCGAGGCAAAAAATGAAAATTACGCTGGTAATATTTTAGTGAAATAATAATGACTTACTATTGACTTTCTACTTTCGATCCTTGTGTTCTAATTGGATTAATTAATGTCAGAATAAAATATCTTGACCCAAGTTTTGAGGATTGTCTTGACATGTGTTACAGGAGTTGTTAGAATGAAAAAAAATATATAGAAAATGACATCAGAAATAATGTTCGACTGGTTAAAAAATTGGCTGGATCACAGCACAGACTACGCTTTGTTTTTATGAAATATTCAGTAAACAAATAAAACTAACAATAAATTGTTACCTGTACAAAAACTCCACGAAAATTGTTACAAGCAATGTATTTCTCCGAAATACTATACACAGCTGCTATTTACAAAACTCTTTGTCTTATACAATTTGATGTATAAAATATTAAAAACTTTTTACCATCTCACACTACACGTTAACATTTTCACTTTATCTTTATATAATAACGGTTAGCAATCTACATAATCTAATAATCATCAAAATTTTCGTTTTTTTTAATCTTTTGTGCCATATGTCATTGAAATAGACGTACGATCCCAAAGTGTATTGCCAAAGCAACAATCATTCTTACTTCTTAACTGAATGACTCGTAGTACAGTATGAAAGCAGTAGTTATTACAAAAATTTCACAATAGCCTAGTTTTCCCGTGTAGGGCAATTTACCTTGTTATTTTTTTGTACATTATAGGAACTACGACATTACCTCCGTGTATAGACCACGATAGTCGATGTTCAAAAGCTACTTATAAAAACTTATTGTGTAATCCAAATGCAGTACCGGATACCAAAAAATATGCAATTCAGACATGTCCGTTGACATGTAACTATTGTACTGAATATTATGGTATGTATTATGTAAGAAATCATTAATATATTTCAAAGAGAATATAATTTAGTAACATTAGAAAATATATTCTGTGTATGTTTTATTTAAACTATCAACAACAACAAAAATCCAAATTTTGTTTGGATTATCGCTGACATTATATTTTTTTAAACGCATCTACTACCGTACGGTATATTGTATTTTGTATCACAAGATGAATTAATGTCGTGCAACCATTTTACTGTGAACGAGAAGTCTTTTTTTCCGTTCTACATTTATCATAGCTTTTGTTTTCGTTGGCTAAGATTAACCATCACATTCTCAACTGACATGTCGTAACTAAGGAATGAGCCGCCATGTTGAATAGCTGGGATCTAAAATGTTCGATTAATACAGTATAATGTAAAATTAAACAAAGCCTACATAAAACAAACTCCGTTTTAATGAGATAATGTCCAAATTTGAATGGCACAAAGTTTTTATTTGAATGACAGTCACAATAAAAAAACATCTTGCTATAATTAGTTGACTTTGGTTTCAGTGTCATGAAAATGAATCCTTTCAAAAGGCTGATAATTTTTTTTTAATTTACCATGGGAACTAATTTCCATTACCATTTTAAAAGGTCTTTGATGGTGTTGCTATGTAATTCCCATGGTTTAAGTTTTTAATTTATCTTAATTCATATTTAAATTGTCACTTTTGTTATTGATATAAAAGTCGAATTGTTATAATACACACAAAAGATTACTGTGCTTATACAGTATGATCGACATATAATACCCCAAAATGGCATTGTAACTCTTTGCATACAACCACCATTAAACCACTATTGGGTATAAAAGTTTTTTGTTAAATGTCACGTAGCTAGATTAAAATTGGTTTCATTTTGCATGTATAAACAACTGTTTAAAATAAATGCGTTGAAAACATTCAATATCATACACAAGCAAATTTTGCCCACGCGAATTGCACATGAATCTCACAAGAAGTTCAAGTGAAATCCACCTAAGACGAGCTTATACGTGAAACTCACGTGAAATTTTTCACTTGAATTTCGCGTATACTGTACAAAATAAATTGGTATTTATCATGATTTTAATTAAATTGGAAAATATGAATACATTTTTTTTTTAATTTCACGTGATAACAATTCTTGTGACTTTCACATGAGTTTCACGTATAAGCTCGTTTGAGGTGAAATTTCACGCAAGATTCACATGAATCTAAATTCACGTGAAATTTACGAGAGTGAAATGTCCCGGTGTATTATATGAAACTATAAATATAAATGTTCTTGGTCGCGTTTATCCTTGATGATTTTTTTATCATGTTTTTCAGCCTTATTGAACCGTAAGTAGTGTTGTTATATTGCACTGATGTAGCCTCCTTCTGGTAATATATACTAAAGAACCAGGAACATTCAAATTAAGGAAATATTTAAGGTTTTGTAACTGAATATAATTTGTATCACTGGCGGAATCAGTATAGCTTTGACCATGCATCTTACTATATGCTTATTAAAATGATACCGACATTAAACGCCATAAAAGAAGCGTTCTTTTTGTATACCTTAAATTATGGCACTATAATACTGTAAAGACTTTTGAATAATTATATATATGAGTATTTTTTTTTTAGACTTTCCAAATTTTAAACTTTTGTTGACATTTCCATAAATAGTAAAGGAAACTGATTGAATGCCAGAAAAAAAAAGTTTCTTTTTTATAACCCCCACTAAATGCCTAAATGCGCTACATACTTTTAATAACTTTCTGATCGTGTGAACCGAAAACGGAAAACAATAGTTGTCGATTCGTCATGTTTGCGTGACAAAATTGTTGTAGCCAATATTTTTTTCATCATAGTGTCAAATGAAATCAACTTTATTATATATACAGCCTATTCGTATTAGGTGACATCAGGTTATAGCAGAACACACTTGTGTCAGTTCCACTTAACTAGCTTTTTATGAACATCAATGCCAGGAATTTTCATTGTTTCATCAATAAAACAAATTTATAAACTGACTGATACGGTATGAGCTAGAGGTAGCCTGAATTAATATACATTTCGTTTTTCACAACACTTAATATGTAATGCTCTAAATAATCGTTTAATATGCTTTCTCAACTATCACATTTCATTATTTACATAGCTTCATTTATTGGTGATCAATGTTTCTTTTGTAGTCACTCAGTTTATTGTAATATAGTTTTCTTCCTACATAGCCACCGTAACTTGCAATACATGCGGAGACCTAGCCGGTAAGATCCCTTGCTCTCAGAGCCTCGTTTTTAAGAACATCACCACAACAAACCCTTGTCCGGGTAGCCAACAGTTTTGCATGACTGATGTGCTTCAAGATTCTTCTGGGAACAAAGATATTTTCAAAAGGTATGCGACATTCCAAATCGTTACAGTTTTATCTGATATTAGAGTCCATTTCCATTGTAAAATGTTAAAATGACATGTAAAATCTGACAAACTAAGTGTAATATCCGCTCTTCTCTCCTGAAGTTGTATGGTTTGCATACAAATTGACTCAAAATTTAAAAAAATGTTGCATGCATATATGTTATAAGTTAGACGTTTGTTAATATAATAGTATGTGCAGATGTAGAAAACAGCTGACTGGTGTTTATGTCAAAGAGTTGCACCATATCATGACAATGGAAACATAAACACCGAATCGAAAATACAAATCAAGAGGACTGTGTTATAATGGTTCTTTCATACAATTCACGGGACTATGCTATATTTACTGTAACAGTATTTCTCTATTGGAATAAACACCATGCACTCATTTACGACTTCATTAAATGGTATGTTCTTATAAGGTTTAAAATTTTACAGTTTTACCACGGTTGTAACAAAGATGAACAACATGCCTATATATATTAATCAAAAACTAGTCCTTAAGTAGTTGTATGAACATTTACAAAGTGTCATTTAACAGTAGTTTAAGGTATGTACGCCTTTGTTACAAAAGACAGACATTTACTACAATAGTTTGGATTTATGTTTGGATTGGTCTTTACTATTATTACTTTGTTTCAGATGTGTCGATGAAACTACTTGTCGAACAAAGTGGTTAACAGAATCAGCTGATCAAGACTACTGCTCTAAGTATGATGTCGTGAAAAATCAAAATGCATTCGAATGCCACTTCTGTTGTCATGGTGACTATTGTAATACCGGAATCAAGCCAAAAGATTCAGTTTTGGTTCAAAAACAGTCAGGCAAATAAAAAAAAAAAAACTCATATATATCATGATGTTTAAGATATGTGATTGTGTCGTTTGATTCTGAAATAAAGTAAAACCTAGATTATCCAATTTATTTAATTGATTTGTAAGTCAACCTGTACATAATACAGTTTCCTTACATTCATATTATTTCCTTATTCACCGCTGAAAAATTTATGATTTAAAAAAAGGTTACAGCTCTTTCTGGCAATTTTGACCCAAGGTGGATTTGGCTATTTGTTTATGGTCCCATATAGCTCCTCGAATATTTAAGTCTTTATACATCATTGGCTTACAAATTTCCAGGTTTGAATAAGAAGAAAGAAAGAAACCGTAGGACACATCAAATTTATAAAGTATTATTAACTGTCTAGCGCTAGATTGATACTTCAGTTCATCAGCCAGTACTTCACTACTGACATGAGTTATCTCTTATCTTTTTGATATGGAATATATGTATATATATCCCAGTTGATACGATATGTCATAGCTTTTATATCTTATCATGATTTTCTTGATAGATGGTTGCTGCTAACAAAGAAGCTATTTAACCAAGGCTTCCAAGAGATGAAATTGAAGTCATCCCTTCGGAAATTTTAACGGACACTCACGAGTTGGTTGACCGTTTTGGAATATCTGTTTAATAGATGACGAAAGATTGTTGTAACCTTAATCCCGTCCTCCTTTCCTCGAATGTAACATCATCGAATTTATACTTACATGAGCAACACGACGGCTGCCACGTGTGGAGCAGGATAGACTTATCCTCCCGGGGCTCCTGAAATTAATCCCTGTTTTTGTTTAGTCTCTCTTGTTGCTCAGTATTCATCTTTCTAAGTGGTGCTTTGTGGGTTGTTTTTTGTCTTTTGGTCGCCTCTCTTTCTGAAATTCGCCATTGATGAACTAAGAAATTATTAAAAAACCGAGATTTCAACACCCTCAAGCAAAATTTCCTTAAAGAGAAGCGATAGATACCAAGGAGTATTCAAAATCATTAGTGGTGACAAACTGACAACGTCAGGGCAAAATACGAAAAACGACCAAAAGACAAACAACAGTTTACGAAACACAACATAGAAACTATACACTGAGAAATACAAACCCCATCAAAAACCGGGGGTAATCTCAGGTGTTGCGGAAGGGAAAGGGTAAGCAGATCATACGCCACTTGTGGCACCCGTCAAGTCTTATTCGGTAGGTCACATTTGAAGAAAAAAGGACGGAATTGTGATTACGACAACCGGAACATATCCGTCGTCCTCTGTGAAACAGATATTCTATTTGAGTGCATTTGGCTATTCTTCTTAAATCTCTTTTTGGCAAAACAGGTGATGGAGTATAACGTTTTTATACATCCTTCGCTTTAGAAAATTTGGATTTGAGCGTCCCCTAGAAGGTAAACACAGTAAAGGGCTTCGGATGCACCAAATGTAAAAACAAATATTTTTATTTTGTAGCACTGGGTCGATATCTCTGCTACCAACTCCGTCATGCAACGTTGTCCTCATGTGGATTTGTTTATTCTTTGCAGGTCCTTTTACTAGTTCCTAGTAGCATCATAAGCTCTAGCTCAATAGTGATGGCTTCTGTACTGGCATAATTTATTACATACCTTTCTTAAGTTCGTCGTTCATTAATTTTGAAAATATTAAGAAACAATGTTGCGGGAAACTATGATCTTACATAGATTTGACTATACGTTTCATGTTCCTTTTGGTCATACAGCTCCTCCAGTATTAACGTATTTATACATCATTCGGTTCCACAAATTGGATGTGAACGTTTCTGATTAAGCT